AATTAAGTATTTGTACTTTGTAACTTCCCAACTCTGCCTATAATGTATGATGTATTTTAAGATCACAAAACTAGGATCCTGTATCTTGATAAATCTGATGAATTACACTCAACTGTTGAATACACACATGCTTTACTAGCGTGTATGACTTACTGCCTCTTAATCTCTATCTAGAATGGAGATACCTGGGATGCTGGCAACTGCACCACAGCTGAATGCATTAATGGTGTAGTGACAAAGAAGCGTACTGAGTGTGCCACAGTACAACAACCCATCTGTGCTAATGGACGCAAAGCCGTTAAAATTTATGACAAAGATGGTTGCTGCTTCCACTACGAATGTGAATGTAAGTTGAAAACATAGCCTTCCAATACAGGTTGTCTCTTTTAACTATTACATGCAGCAAAAAACCTTGTGGGCACAGAACAGTAAAATATGCGTACTAAGAAAGGTTTGATTTGAAGCCTTGAAGCCACAGTCGGCATGTTCTCGCCAGCTAATTTACGAAAAGTCACTTTATGGTTCACACATCTGTGTGGCTGCAAGACTCAATGTGGTGGGTGTATTATAAGGAGTGGATACTAAACTTGGATAGGGACCACTGACATGAATGAAAATTGGCTCATCTGGCCCATAAGCCAGAATGTTCACATGTTTCACAATTTGCCTCAATGTTGTGCAACCTATTGCATTTTGAACTGTTTTAACAACTCAATCTGACCTTTGTTGGCTCGGGAGTTACTATGATTGAAATATTGACAAAATGCGTATTAATCGTGTGTTCCTGAATTGTTCAGTAACAAACTGAGCTGAGATCAAACCACAGAATATTGACAGGCCTTTTTGCTTGGTAAATTATTAGCTGGTAGATGCACTAACTAGGTTTGTTACAAAAAACTGAGTCTCTAGCATCATTAGCAGTGAAGTTTAGGTGGTGCAGATTAATATAGCGCCATCTTAAGTTTTACAGTGGTAAATGCTGCTCCACCAATGAATGGTGTTAGACTTTACTTTTTCACTGTAATGTGAATACAACATAGTACTTTAATTGGGTCTGTGTGAACCCCTGTGAGGACGTTTTCCTGTTTACATTTCCAGCAAATGCACAAATGATGAACTTGTAGTGCAATCAGTGCACACGGACCTGATGACCAAGTTAACTTCACACAGACCCACACAGCCCTCTATTTAAGCCCTCAAATATTCATGAAAAATATAGTCTTTAGCCAACATCTTATACATTAGAAAGAAGTAAACAACTTGGATTTTATATTGATGGTCAAGTTCAACTTCTCTTCATCCACAATTTGTTTGTATCACGGAGAAGTACCTGAAAACCCTTCTCAAGCAAAAGTGTTGTTAATTACAAGAAGATTTATTCTTTGGTAATCAGGTAATCATCATAACTTAATAATGTGAACTCTGATTTACTCTGTGACAACCTCAACCTTACATGCAGCAAAAGCAAATTAAATGGTAAATGGTTTGTATTTATACAGAGCTTTTCTAGTCTTTCATGAACGCTCAAAGCGCTTTACATTTCAGTTTGCCATTCACCCATTTACACACAAATTCATACAGTGCATCTATTAGCAGCACTTTTCTTTTCTATGACGGACAATTCGGGGTTCAGCATCTTGCCCAAGGACACTTCGGCATGTAGATGGGGATGACTGGTATTGAACTGCCAACCTCCTGTTTGGAGGACGATTTAAATTAAAAAGATACTCCAAAATTATAAATAAATGGAAAGTTACATTTTTGCTGTGTACATTTCATAGTTTCCACCCCTGATAATAACTAATAATTGTGTTCATTTATAATAGTCACCACAAACTTCCATTGGGGTGATGTAAACCTTGTTTGAACAGATCTTCAGAGGCCCATATGATCTCTGCAAAAACAGATACTTCCAATATATATATATATATATATATATTTTTATTTTGTCGAAACATTTGGTTTAGACTTGATATTGTCACATTGTGATACACATCAAAGGTTTCTGATTTTGGGCTTTAGAAGGACAACCCACTAATTATCAAATTAGCTTCAGCAGAGCTAATCACTAATGTAACTAAACATAAGTTGTTCTGCAGTAAACACACAGCTAATAAACACAGCAGTCTTATGATTTTTCCTGTTACTGTTCTTACATATAACTTCCATACATGGCTCTTCTCCCTGCAGGTGTGTGCAGTGTCTGGAGTGGAACACACTACAAGACATTTGATGGACAAACCTTCGATTTCAACCAGAACTGCACTTACTACCTGGTCAAAGAGATCAAAAATAAATATAACCTGACGATTATAGTGAACAATTATGCCTGTAACCCTTCAGAGGACACATTCTGCCGACAGGATCTCATTGTCATATACCAATCCTACAAGGTTGTCTTCACGCAAATTAAGACTTCAGAATCTACAGTTAATAAGGTAAGCAACAATTGTCATTGTCATTTGTTATTTTAGTAGCAGTATCTCACCTTATCAATTATTTTCAGAGCTGGGACTGTTCTGGTGCTCAATCTGTCAGTGGTGTGACACATGGTTCAGTTGGAATAAGAAAAAATGGTGTGCTTGGTTCAAAGTCCTTAGTAAATTGTTTTGTCTTTTTGTCCAACAGGTGTATTTGAATGAGAAACAAATCTATCCTGCCTACAGCAACGGTGACCTGTTCTTCACTAGCACAGATATGGTGGTCACATTGGAGATACCAGGGATCAGCACAGAAGTGGTCTACAGGGGCTCCTCATTCACCATTGAGCTTGCCTATTCCCTCTTTAATGGGAACACTGAGGGACAGTGTGGTGAGTTACAACAACACATGACCCCTGATCCTACCTAACATATTCAGTGACCTTGTGTATGAGAAATCATGGGGTAAAAGAACTTAAAAATATTCAATGGCACTTAAAACCAGAGGGCACCTGAAAGTGATGCCCTGTTGTGCCAACTAATGCTGCATTGTCACTGTGGGACTACATTTAAGATTTAGATTTAGATTTAGATTTAGATTTCCTTTATTGTCCCTCAGTGGGGAAATTCACATGTTACAGCAGTAGCACAAGATTTAACTCCAAAGAGAGGACAAACAAACAAGCAAACAGAAACACACAACATCAGGTAGTATATATAGCAGCAGTTGTACATGGGCAAATAGCAAAATTTTTAAATTGTACTGTGGTTATTGCAGTGGTTAATTGCACATTGCGTGTGTGTGTGTGGTCTACTGGGGGGGGGTCAGACCTGGTTGTTAAATAGTCTGACAGCAGCGGGAAGGAAGGACCTACGATATCTCTCCTTCACACACCTGGGGTGAAGGAGTCGGTCACTGAAGGAGATAGGACACCAAGTAACACTTCTGAAACTGAAAATATGTGAGGTACAGAAAGTTTGATAGTCAAGAGAAACAGTCTATATGATGAGGGGTTGAGTATCCTTTAGTTGAGCTCTTCAGTCATCAAACAAGAGCTTTTTCATATTCTTATTTCTTTTCCTATAACTCTACTCTAAGTTACTTCCTTCTTTGAGGGTTTCTTGCACGTGTTTCCAGTCATATTCATCAGACTTGCTTAAATGCATAAAAATATAATTTTAGTCTGATAAGTGCCACCAGTTCATGTGCATATTCAGATTTGAGGGTTAAAAAAATTAACAGAATAAATATAAGGCTATCTGATCTGTTCTGTTTGAAACCAAGTTTAATTTTCTCAAATGGTTCAAAATGGTATCGTATGCAAATCAGGTTTAGTAACACGTTTAGCAACAATGTGGTTGTTTGAAGACAACTTTGCTGTTTTGAAGCGTTCTCAACAAGCATTGATGATATACTTGTCTTTCTAAAGCAAAGTTTTCTATGAGCATCATGAGAGGCTGTCAAGATGACAACACTCATGGAGATATATGACAATATCAAAGCCTGTGAGAAGTGATCTTACACTCTATGAGGATGATACTGAGGCTGCTGTTGATAATATATTGTATTAGTTGCAGTGTCAAAATATCTAAGCAAAGTAAATTGGTACAACATGATTATGATAATTTTGATAGTACTATTTCAAATACAGTACTAGAAAAATGGTGATTGCCACAATTAGTTGGTGCAACTACATGTTGCGATTGCTGGGAATTCATCCTGCCTGCTCTCCTTGCAGGGACATGTGACAACTCCAAGAACAACGACTGCCGTTCCCCCAACGGTCAAGTGGAAAGCTGCTCAGACTCTGCAAAACAGTGGCATTTCCCAGACAAAGATTGTATCTCCACCCCTACTACTATTCTACCACCTCTGACCTCAACACCACAGACAACAACACAGCCTTTTTGCGATTCCACCATCTGTGATATCATAAAATCCAGGTAAGGGAAATAGAAGTGGAAGTTAAGGGTATCTGAGTGTATGTATGAATAAAATCGAGATAGACAACACTGAAATAAGTGAATACATCTGTGATCACTGCAACAAAAAGACATATGATTTCCAATCAAGACTATGTGTAAGAATAAAGTAATAAAAAAACTGAGACCACAGCTTCTTCAATCATTGCATTGGTTGAGAGACTGAAACACACCACAGAACTGAATCACACAGCTGTAATGCTTAACAACTAAAGCAGTAGTTGCAAAAAACCCAAACATTTTGAAAACATCAGTGTTTATAGCAGGTTCTTGGCATTACATCTTATAGATGATGTTATTCTGGACATGTGGCAAAGGCAAAATCATCGAATTGACCTCTCCTGTAATACTATTCTGTCTTGTATTTCCCCTCTAGTGTATTTGATCGATGCCACTCAGTCATACCGCCAGGAGAATATGTGAAAACCTGTATCGCTGACACTTGTAAATATGGAAATAAGTCCTGCACCAGCCTGGAGTCCTACGCTGCTGAGTGCTCTACTGCAGGAGTCTGTATCAACTGGAGGAATGCCACCAATGGACAGTGTGGTGAGATAAATAATCAAGAGTGTACAGTTCTACCATTGCTATGTGGAGTTTTTGAAAATGTGTCTGTGAGCATGTTCTCATTTTACAGAGCACAAGTGTCCAAGCAACCAAGTGTACAAAGCTTGTGGCCCCAAAGTGGAGTCAACATGTCAAGAAAAGTAAAGTATACTGTACATCTACGCTACATTTTATTGAGTCTGAACATTCACTGGATTCACTTGCTCAAATGTGTGAGCTGGCTGCCTGAAAAACCATTGACTTTTGTGATCAAATAGATTCTGATATATAAGTGAAATGTTGTTGAAATGAAACCCTTCACGGATAGAAACCTTCCACTCCCAGAGCCTTGTGTGACAATCTTTAAAAACATTTCACGACACTGTAATAACTGGTATTTCCCTTTCTGACATCAGATACAATCTGAAGTTTAACGCCAGTAAGACGGGATCCGCCAACAACTCTCAGGAGGGTTGTTTCTGTACTGATGACACCACACTGTTCAACACAGTCCATGACATATGTACTGCTTACTGCGGTAAGGGGAGATACAAAACTCTGAGTGAAGGACTTTTCACGAAATCATTAGCTGTTATACTTATAAATTCACAAACGTTTGAATTTCAGATTGTGTTGGACCTGATGGAAAACCCAGACTGGTGAGAACTCTGCCTAAAACAGACATTCATGTGCTTTAAAAAACAAGAACTGTGAGAATGAACTGGCCTCTTTCTCTCACTCAGCCTGAGGAACAATGGACAGTCAACTGCACAAACTGTAAGTGCGACAAAGATACCATGGGCATCCTGTGTGTTCCTGTTGATTGCTCGTCAGAACCCACGCCCACCTGCAAACCAAATTACAAGCTGGTCACCACTAAGGAGGGCTGCTGCAACAAATCGTCATGTGGTAAGTGTCAAAGAACTAGATGTGATTCTGTCACTTAGTTCATAACCTCAACACAACAGAAATTCAAGCAGACATCATGTTCATGTTTCAAAGCTCTGCATGGCAATGTTCATGGAAGTAATGAATAATAAGGAATAGCTTTCAAAAACATAACTTGTTACATAACATGTTAAACACTGTGCTTTTAAAACTGGTCAGCAATGATGTAGAGACTTAAAGAGCCCCTCTCTCATTAGCATCACTGAAAAGCCCATGAGCAAGGTATTACTGCTCCAGTGAAATCAGATGTGTGTGAATGTGGGGATCTGTGTAAGTGTTTGCAGGGTCTTTCGGACAAAGAGAGCCTGGGCAAACTTTCCTGCTTACTTTTGGTGAATCACCTAATAATGAAGAACTGCTGTTATGGTTAAAATCTCTATGTCAACATGCTTTTGTCTGTAACAGAATGTGATAAGACGCTGTGTCCTGCTCCCATGAATTGCTCGCTTGGCTTCGAACGCCAAGTCACTGAAGACGAATGCTGCGATTCCTACAAGTGTGGTATGTGACTCTATTTCAACACAAAGTAATGCTGGTGCATAATATGTCATGCAGAATAAAATAAACATACTGCATGCTATGAGCTCATAATAGGTTTGCTGGAACACAATGCCGTAGAAACTGAAACATAAAGAAACAAATATATTTAAACTGGTATCTAGCATTACATTATATTACACTATGTTTGCAAGCAGCAAAAAGGAAAGAAAAGTTTAAATATTATTTGGTTTCTCAGGATGAAATATATACAACATATATTTCCTCCCGGTGTAATCCAGTTCTTTAAAAACTAAAGTATCCTACTGAAGGCTTCACATTTCTCATCAAGATTTTGCTTATGTGGATTCTCTTGCTTGAGAATATTGAAGACTTGTAGTCCACTATTAGGAAATATAACACGTAACACTGTATTTCACTGATATCATATATCATATATCTCATTAAAACAAACAATTTTTAAATCATTTAAAATTGTTTTTTTAAGTCAAGTCGTGGTCTTGTGTGTGTTTGTGTGTCATAAGATAATGATATGATTAGAAATGCAGTGTAAGTACAGTCCAGTTTCCACATATCTGCTTTACTAATCTAATACTTACTTGGCTCTACAGTTCCTAAAGGTGTATGCATCTACAACATGACTGAGTACAAGGTATGCACACTTTCTACACTCCAGGCAGGCAGGGCAGAGCATTTACTTTACCAAAATATAAGTCAACTAGCAGACTGATGTAGGTTGTTCGTGGTGTGATAACAAATACTGAATTACAGCATGTGAAAAAGTTAAATGATCTCCTACTAAGAAGTTTATGGTAGCGCTTTCCAAGTGTATCCAAAAGTAAAGAATTCTCTTTCATGCTGTTCTTTCCCTTAGTCCAGAGCAAATGAACTGAAACAAAGATGTGAAAGCTTCTTTAATTGTTGTTTGAGAATGAATCATTGATCAATTTGTGTTTTATAGCCTGGTGAAAAGGTACCAATACCAGAACCAGAACCACCAATAGTAGAACCATCACTAGAAACATCAGCAACAACAGCATCACCACCAGGCCCAGGACAAACCTCTGGAACAACAGCACCACCACCAGGACCAGGACAAACC